GGCTCATCCTTAAAAAGTGGCCAAAAATAATAACTCTTATTATTTGCCCTAAGGTCAACCTTTTCTGCTCATAAAGAAAGCATGTGAGAGATAAAAGTGCTGGATCGGGGTTGGAGTGATTATCAGTAAAGTTCTGATTCTGCCACAAATTAGCAGCGATGTTGGGCGTGACCTTTCCCCTCTCCAGGCCTCAGTTTCCCCATCGGCAGACTAAAAGGGTTGATTAGTTCAGCTCTAACTCTGAAGGTTGTATGGCCACCCGTGTGGCTTCTGGATGGCCCCAGTCTTCCCAGCTACCCATACAGAGCAGGGCCAGGAAGAGGTCTGGGAAGAAGCCTCTGACCTCCCTAAACCAGTGCTTTGGGTAAGAGAGCTGCTCTGGGGACACTCAAGCCCAGCTGGAGGTTTTGTCTTTACCACTGAGTGTGACCTTGGTACAGTCACTTCACCTCTCTGAGCCTTAGTTCCTTCATCTGTAAAATGGGACCTAAAATGGCATCCAGATTTAAGCCAATGCCTGCACAGCTCTTAGCACACGGAGGAAGAAGTCCGTAACGGCGTGTTGTTTTAATCATCGTTATTGATGCCAGCTTCATGTGGACTCATCCCTGGGCATGTGCTCAGAGCCAATCTGAGTGCACTTGTGACCGTTCCAAGTGTTCTTTCTAGTGACAACAAAGCTTCTTATGAGAACAGTAGTCATCCTGGGGACCCACCCAAAGAAGAGGAGTTGGTCAACCTCTGCATGCCAATAGGCAGGATTCCCATGATTCCAGGGCAGTCTGAAGGAGGTGATAGCCATCTGTCCTTCCCCACCCTGCCCAGAAAACCAGCTCTGCAGGGCTGGAAAGGACCACAGCCTGCATCTTGTCCAGCCCTTCTACCTGGGCTAAGATGCCAGGAGGGGAATAACCTACCCAAGTCCTGTGAGATGTTACTAGACCTAGGACACTTAGCATGTGTAGTATTGAAAAATTTATCTGTGTCTGATTCTTGGCTTCTCGACTTACAGGCTCAGTGACCTCCCTGGCCTTCATTCCTCATCTGGAAAATGGGGATAATAATAAAACCTGCTTCCTGGGATTGCTGCAAAGATTAAATGAGCATGCAAATACATATATACAGATAACTTCTATGCATGTAACATATAACAAGTCCTCTATAAATAGCAATGTCCAATAGAAATATAACGTGAGGCACTATATAATTTTATTTTTTTTTAAGATTTTATTTATTTATTTGACAGAGAGGGACACAGTGAGAGAGGAAACACAAGCAGGGGGAGCAGGAAGCCTGATGTGGGGCTCGATCCCAAGACCCCGGGATCATGACCTGAGCCAAAGGCAGATGCTTAACGACTGAGCCACCCAGGCGCCCCATATAATTTTAAATCATTCCATAGCCACTTTACAAAAAGTAAAAAGGAGAGAAAATTAGTTTGGGTAGTAAATGTCATTTAACCTACCATATCCAAGATATTATCATTTCAACATGGGATCAATACTAAAAAGTTATTAATATTAATAGCTTACATTTTTTTTCTTATTAAGTCTTTGAAATCTGGATGGGTTGCAACCTGGGGAGATTTTGGCAATTGTCTGGGATGCTTTTGGTTGTCACAACCAGGGGAGCCTGGGAATGGGCAGCAGTGTGTGCTACTGGTGTGAGACCAGGGACACTGCCAAAAATCCTACAGTGCATAGGACAGCCCCCCCACAGCAAACAATTATGTGGCCCCAAATAGTAACAGTGCCTGTTTTACACACCTAGCATAGTTCACATTAGCCACTTTGCACATCCTGAATAGCCACATGGAACCGGTGGCTACCATATTGGACAGTGCAGTTCTAGAACATAAAACATTCGGACATGCACTTAGAAGGGCCACATTTTTAGGAGTTTGGGTCTTGGTAAATTAGTTTTTCTGTTCATCAGGAATAACTGGCCACATGAGATGTGACTGGTTCACCAGAGTCTGGCTGGCTAAGGACAGAACCCATCTATCTCTGGCTGGTCAGACCCTTCCAAAGTCACCGCCCTCCCCTGGCAGACGAGCCTGGGACAGACACTGAACCCTGTTGTTCTTTTCTGGGGAGACAATGCTTCAGGCCCTGCTACCTGCCTGACAGTGCTATTGTGGCTTGGGCAGAAAAGGGCTTTGTCAGGACAGCAGGCCAGGAGACTGCGGGTCAATGGGGCTCATTATATCTGTACTCCCGGGATGCTGATACCAGCCCTGGGGAAGCCCCGCCTCCTCCTAGAACAAATGGGGAGCCTGAGGCCCAGAGAGGGTGTGCAAGGCCCTTCAGTAGATCCCAGCTCCTTCCCCCTCAGCCCACTGCCCTAAAACATGAAACTCCCCTAACTCTGAAAAGCCTCGTCGGAAGCACAGGAGGAAGGCAGTAGTGCCCTTAACCCAGGGCAAGGGAGCCCCTGCCCGGGACCCTGAAATGTAGCGGCCCCACCAATCACAAGCCCAGCCACAAACATATCTATGAAAGAACACAGGTGTGTATCTGTCTCTCAAGATCTGGGCTCAGCTCTGGCACAATGTGACCATGATCTGAACATCCTCTCTTGTGATTAAAAAAGCCCAGGCCAGAAAGAAAGACCACAGATCTCTTGTTCTGTGTCCTTGGAACAAACGCAATCCGAGTTTGAAGGCAGTGAGTGTTTGAGGGCGGCCCTTCTGCCAGCCTCAGAGATGGACGCTGTTTTGTAGCACGTGTTAGATCTGAGCAGCAGAAATTGCTCAGGTAAGAGAAAAGGCCAATTAAATTCTCACGTCCGATCTTCCGTCTCAGGTAGCACAGCTGCCTCCGTAATGAACTATCATTTCCAATCACCCAGTTTCCGGCTTCTCTGTGTTCCAATTCATACTGGACTTGGAGGTACTCACTTCCATGTGGACTCTGGTGCCACATCCCCCCAAAGTGAGGGGAAGGTCTGGGTGCATTAGGGCCCCTTGAACTTGGATGTGTAATGTTAGTAATACGTATGATTTTCCTTTTCCTTCTAAGCTCTATCTTACCCACCTTGCCCCCAAACCCATGGTCTCACACACACACACACACACACACACACACACACACACACACACACAAAGAAAGAGAGAGAGAAAGAGAGAAAGGAGCTCTCTTATTTGACAGATGAGGAAACTGTTTCTCCTGGAGAGTATGTGACTTGTTTAAAGTCACCCAGAAAGTTGGGGGAAGCCACATGCTGGGAGAACCCATCCCTTGTATCCCAGCTAGAAGTGTATTATACTCTATGTGTAGAGGGTGGAGAGTGATGGGGGGAGGACAGGCTTGGGGGGCAGAGGCTGTTTACTCCTGGTGCCCTCACTAGCTGTGGGACCTCCGGAGCAAGTTTCTCAGAGTATTTCCAATATGGGCTTTTTCTATTCCTATGACTCTTCTGTAAATCTAAAGTTATTTTAAAACCAAAAGGTTTTTTTTAAGTACAGTTTTCTCTCATCTGTACCATGGAGATGGTAATGGTATCTACCAAATGAGATAATGTCTGTACAGGGTTTAAAGATTTTATTTATTTGAGAGAGAAAGAGAGCACAGGCAGGGGGAAGGGCAGAGGGGGAGGGAGAGGGAGAGAGAGAATCTCTCAAGTGGACTCTGAGACGAGCACGAAGCCGGAAGAAGGGCTCAATCTCACAACCCTGAGATCATGACCTGAGACAAAACCAAGAGTGGAAAGCTCAACCAACTGAGCCACCCAGGCCCCCCTCTGTAGGGTTTAGTACGGGGTCTGTCTCATAGTGAAGACTCCATAAGTAACTATTTTTAAAAGCTACCTCCTCCAGGAGGTCAGTGGCCATCATTGCTGGAACTGGCCACTGCTTTCTTGGTGGTCCCATGTCTTCACTACACAGGAACAGGAGTGTATTTCAGTCTAAATGCCAGGCATTTAGCGTGGCCAGTGGGAGCATGCTCTTGATCTTCACTCTTCCACTTCCTAGCTGGGAAACCTGGCAAGTTCCTTGATTGCTCTGTGCCTCAGTTTCCTTTCTGTAAATAATAAAAGTCTGTACTGCATGTGGTTGTCATGAGGGTTAAATGAACGGGGGTTTTTCAGCACTAATAGCAGTGCCTGGCCTATAGCAAGCATGGCACAAGTGTGTTTATGGTCCAAGATAGGGTTTCTCTAATTTATTTGTACTATTACCCATAGTAGCCAATATACTTTCCACACCACAGGTTTTTTCATGGTGATTTGGAAGACACCAGTTTCTAGATAGTGAATCCCATTTTGTTTCTCTCATTAATATAGAAGGTTCTCCAGGGACAGAGAATATGTCTAACTCATTTTGGTCTCCGATGGCTTGGAAGAAGAAATATACTTCTCTCATTCATTACCAAGCGTCTATCATCCGTTCATTCCACATAGACACAGTGGCCATTTTGGGGGCACCTACTCACTGTGTGCCTGTGGTAATACCAGTGCCCAGATCAGACCTATGTTGGCAGGGAGGCAGGGAGGCAGGGAGGCAGGCAAGAAGGGGGAAACTCAGGGTCTCAGACACCACCCCCGCCTGAGAGGGCTCCAGCTGGCAGCAGTGCCTTTTCCAACCCCCACGTTCCCACTTCCACCTCGGCCAAAAAATCTCCCCCTCTCCCACCTGTCGGGACCCGTCAACTCTGTCCCTGCGGACGCAACTGGCTGCAGTCCGGACGTTTCGCGGAGCGGCGGCGCCGGGGGACCCTCCTCCTTGCCTCCGGCCGGGGGCGCGACGCGGCGACTCCCTCTCGGGGAGCCCGGCAGCCTCCGCACCCCGGGAGGGCGTGCGCCCCTCTGCGGGCAGCTCGGGCGCTGGGCCCCCAACCCAGGGAGTTGCCCGAGACGCCGGGTGACTCCTCCCCGGGGACCGTCCCCGTCTGGGGCGCGTCATTCTCTCCACCCCTGGGGCCGACCCCGGCAGCTTCTCGCACGCCGGCCACGCCGGGACGAGTTTCGGCCACCTGCTCCAGAGCCGGGGAGCCCCGGGCGCCAGCCGCCCGCGCGTCGGTCCGTCGGTCGGTGCGCGCAGGGCCCATGGAGCTGCCCGCCAGCAACACCAGCTGCCAGAACGGTGCGTGCGGGCCCGAGGAGCCCCGGGTGCGCCGCGCGCTTCGCGCCTTCCCTTCCCCGCCGCTCCTTTCCCTCGCGTCTGCTCCTGCGGGGGCCCAAACCGGGGAGGGCAGGGTCAGCGCGGCTTGTGGTCAGGCCCGTCTTGGCGGGGGGGGGGGGGGGGGGGGGGGAGCAGGCTTCTGGCCGACTTCCCCACCTTTGAGGCTGGGGAGCTGAGAGGGCGATTGGGAGGGAAGGGGACGCGTGGGGAGGGAGGGGGCAGAGGGGGGCATAATTAACTGGAGCTGGTCAGCCCGAGGTGGGGGTTTTCACGGTAGTTTATGTATCGTTGCTTCAGATTCTCGCACCTGCCCAGGTCTGGTTGTCTCCCTGGGGCCCACCAAAGACAAGGGAGAGGGGCGCAGACACTCACCACCTCCAAACCCACCCGCACCCTGTAGGTGGGAAAGAACAACCCAGGGAGGGATAAGGAAAGACCCTGAGCTTAAGTTGAGTTCTTACCAGGAACCGGGTGGTAGACTAGGCCCTTTACCTGCATTATCTCATTTAACCCTTAACGCTAGAGGGCAGATAGGTATTATTACCTTGCTGTCTCCTTTCTGAAGAGAAAGAAACGGAGGCTCTGAAAAGCCTGATAATTTGCTCAAGCTACTGCAGTGGGGGGAGTGGAATATAAAATTTGAGTTCTTGGATTCTCAAACATGTACTCATACTACTGTACTGCTTTCTTGGTATGTCTGCATGTTCCTACCTCCTCTTGCAATGGCAGCCTGTCGGATAGCCCTGTTTCTCTAACTTCTTTTTCCCAGTGAAGCGTTCAAAGCCAGCTCTGTGGGTGTTGGCTGGCTTTGGTCTCCTGGCCAACAATGCAGTCCATTTTCAGCCTCACCTTCCCCTGGGGAAGAATACGTTCCCTGGTCCTAGCATATTCTGGAAAAGAAGAGGGAATCACCCGGCCCAACACGCATTTGTCTAATGAGCATCCTCCTCAGAACTGGACTTTCTTTGGCCATCAGCCCTCTCTCTTTTTCTTTCTGTCCTCATGGGAAAACTTAATTCAGTGGAGGCTACTGCGCCCCTGGGCGCTTCAGGCCTCCCCAAAACAGGCAAGCTCACCCTTTGGCCCCACCTCCTGGAGATGCACCTTCGGGAGGGCAGGGGAAGGGGGTAGGAATGGGATTGGCCTTCTTCTTGGGAGTCACCTTCCTTGGCCCATGTCCTGGCTCTGGCTCATTTCCTGTGTTCAGGGAACTCCCCAGACTTGACGGTCTGAGCTGAGGAACAGGAGTGAGAGGTCAGACCAAATCTGAGTAGGGATGGAGATGGCTTCTTGTCTCACCTTCTCTTGATCGTGAGACAGGTGTCAGGAAGAGAGATCTCCCATGGCCAAAGACACATGGATGTCCCCTGGTGGGTTCCAGGCCCAGCTCTGCCACTAGGTTTTTGTGAGACTCAAGCAAGTCCTTCCCCTTCTCAGGGCGTCAGTTTTCCTGGCTGCAGGTAAGAGGGTTAGGCAGGCTGTCTTCCCGGGGCTCTCCCAGCACCATTCTGTGCTTCTGTGCCATGGAAGAAAGGTCAATGTCGCCCTTACTTTATTCCACCCAGATGCCACTCTCTGATCCAGACACACTGATGCCAGAGCTTCCTGACCGTTAGGGCGCGCCCAGTACAGCCTGGAGTTCTCACTGCTCTGAGGAGAAGTGCCACCCAGGCTTACATCCTTGGCAGAGTTTTGAAATTCCAGTTTGAAAAAGACCTTCTACCACCAGAGGTCACGAACTCAGATGCCTACAGGGGCTGAGCACATAACCAAAATGACTGAAGGGAAGCAGATAGGGACACTGGGGCATTGCAAAGGACATGTCCCTTTGTGGGGGCAGCCACTCTCATCTGCAGTCAGTGGTCAGCTCTGGGAAGGTGTGCTCGATGAGGTAAACAGAGGCAGCTCAAAAGCTGAATTTTCATGGGAAATCGGATTTTTAAATGTTGGTAATGAATTCATAGTTTAAAACAACCCTCAGGAGGCCAAATGGAACCCCAGCCTGCCCTTGCTGCCTGCCCTGTGGGGTGTAGGTGACAGTTAAGTGCATGGCTTTGGCATCACACGGGCTTCGGGAACAATTTGGCTTCACTGTGTACCACCAGTTTCGTCTTACTCAGCTTACCAAACTTATCAGGGCCCCAGTTTCTTCCGCTAAAACCGGGACACGATCACTGTGCCGTTTCCATGACAGGAATGCTCATGCAAAGCCCCAGAGTGGAGGAGCATGCAGTCCTGGCGTTGGGGGATTACTGGCTATGCTTTACGTGGTTTTACTGAACTTGGGCAGCTTAGCTCTTCTGACAGAGGGTCTGCCCCTCGGGCCCAAGTTTGTCCTATTATCCTTGGCGTTTGTGCCAGAGGGCAAGCCAGGGTTGGCGGGTTCTGGGGCATGAGGGCTGACTTGGGCTCTCAGGATCTCTAGGACTTGGAAGGCAAACTAAAGAGACGCTCCATGGGACGGCAGGGACAGCAATCCCTCTGAGGCCTCAAGGAGGCCCCAGCCACTGACCACGGGCATCAGAGGTCTTAGAATAAGGCCCGGGAATGGTCAATTCTAACCAGTAGGCTGCTTATATTTAATTATCTTCAGGCCTAGAAGGGGCTGTGGGCTCTCTAGCCTCACTCCCTCATGTTAACTCTCAGGAGTCTCCATTGTGGCTAGAGGTGGGGATATGGAAGTAAAGAGGCCTCTTGGAGGGGAGAATCCTTGTGTGATCCTGAGCTGTTGGAGGTCCAGAAGCTGGAGGGGATGCCTAGGAAGGGTGGGAGTTTGGATTCCGTGATGCTTGAGAGCCTGGAAGACCCTGCTTGGTGTGGGGGGCATTAGTACACCTTAGTGGTCATGTGCTGGAGTTCTGAAGTCAGATAGTCTGTGTTCTCAGGCAAGGGGCCTGACCTCGCACGGCCTCTCTTTCCCATCTATGAAATGGGAACTCAAGGCAGCGCTTATCTGACAGATGGTTATAAAAATTGGATGAGTTCATGCAAATAAAACCCCTAGCTGGGGGTAAGGACTCAGTGAATGTTATTTATTATTGTTAGGTTGAGGCCCATAGTGTGGATGGAGGCTCACTGCAGCTGACCTATGGGGTCTGAACCAGTAGCCAATTCCAGTATTTGAAAGCATGAAGACGTCCCCAGCGTGACTCTCTTATGGTGGTCTTCCCGTCCAGGTTCCCTGATCAGCTTGTACTGCTCCTCCCACCAAGTGGTGTGCCAGATCGTCGGTGACCTCAGCCCCCAGGTGCCCAGCAATGTCACCTCTCACGACTGGAAGGAAAGGTTCAGGCAGAACTACAGCTTCTACATTGGTCTGGGCCTGGCCTTCTTGTCTAGTTTCCTCATCGGCAGCAGCGTCATCCTCAAGAAGAAAGGCCTTCAGCGACTGGTGGCCTCTGGGGCCACACGGGCCGGTAGGGTCCTGGCGGGGAGGGTGGGTGTGGGGTGTTAGGCAGCAGAGCCCCCAGCCAGCCCCATGAACCTCCCTTCACAAGGGGGCCCCTGCGGTTGGCGACCCTGGCCTACATGGTCACAAAAGGCTCATTGTCAACCCTGCTGGGAATCCAATCCACCCGCAGGAGACCTCCCTTTAAAATCCAACATTTCTGGAGAACTTCAAGATATGTTAATTGGGGTACAGATAAGGAAAAGTCTCAGGGCCAAGAATGAGAAACCCCAGATCTAGTCCAGTTTTATTTCTTACCCGCTCTGTCATCCTGGGCAAGCTGAATGGGAATACAAATACCTCTGTCCAGAGCAGTGTCACACACTACTGTGCCCTCCTGGACTCCCAGATAAGGCCCACTCAAGGCCACAAAAGAATTCCTGAGTCTCTGTCCACAAGGATTTGTTTGCTTGGAAAGAAGGTGTATTTCTATGAACCCACCCTGGAGAAAAGGAATCATGTGTAAAAAAATTCATTCATTTAATTATCATTCACTGCATACCAGCTGTACCAGGTCCCACGCTGGGCGTGGGGACCCAGTGCCCCGTGGGGCATTGAGCCGCACGGGGGACACAGGCAACTGTTCCACAGTGGTTGGCGTGCTCTTCGTCATGGAGAAAATCCAGGACACTTTGGGGATATTTTGGAGGGCCCAGGCTTGGAAGGTTAGGGGAGGTTTTCTGTAAGAGGTGATCTGGAAGCTGGGACTTGATGAGATGGCCAGGTGAAGGGGAAAAGAGGAGGATGTGGTGTTCCAGGCAGAAAGAACAGCATGTGCAGAGGCTCCGAGGTGAGAGAGCATGAGTGATGTTAGAAGCTGAAAGTAGCTCAGGATGGCTGGAGCATGGGGCTGGGGGTGGGGGTGGGGGGTAAGAGATGAGGGAAGGGCCAGATCGTGAAGGGTCTTATAAACTGGGCCACAGAGTTTGGGTGCAGTTGTAAGTGACAAAGGTCTTAGGCAGAGGAGAGACATAGTTCAATTGACAATTTGAAAAGATTCCTGGTTGCTGGGTGGACAATGGATTAGGGGACAAGCCTGGCACCTAGGAGACCAGTTAGGGGAGAGAGACGGCACAACTTGGACTGGGAGAATTGCGTTGGTAACGGAGACCGTGGTGGAGTCCAGAGATAGCTTTCGAAGTTAGAACTTACTGGGTTTGGTGTTGACTGGCTCCAAGGGGAGGGTAAAACAGAGTCGAGACTGACTCAGCTTTCTGACTTGAGCAACTGGGGAGATGAGGGTGTTGTTTTCTGAGATGAAGAATGCAGTATGAGCAGGTTTATGGGACTATGATGGTTCAAGTTTGGACATGTTCAATGTAGTGTTCTGCGGGACACTGCTTTGGAAGCAGACTCCTAGGGTTCCAATTCTAGCTCTTCCATTCCTGGTGATGTGATCCTGTGCAAGGGAAGTGTTTTTTTCTGTGCCTCAGTCTCTTCATCTGTAAAATGGGATTCAGAACAGTTCCAACCACTAAGATTCTTGTGAAGATAAGTAGTGTGTTTACAAAGAGGCTTGGACCAGAGTCAACACGAGGATTGGCGTTACTGGGAGGGCCCGGCAGGCAGTTGGATGCCCAGGTCTAGAGCCAGGTGCTCTCTGAAATGGAGAGCTGTGAGGTGTGGGGAGGAAGTCAGGAGCAATGGTCTTGGCTGCTCTGTCCTGTACTTCTGGACAAGTGTCCGAAAGTCCACCATGTGAACCGAACAAACACAATTCTGGGCATCATAGCATCTCCATTTTAGTGGGAGAAATGTCAGAAAAGAAATACATTAACTCAAATTATAAATAAGTACCACGAAGGAGAAGAGCTGGTGATGAAAGAGAATCCCAACAGGGCAAAAAACAGAGATAAAGGGGTCAGGGAGGGCATCTTAGGGGAAGCAACATTCAAGCAAAGTCCTGAAGAGTGAGTGTAGATATAAGCAAATATCATCAAGAAGACTATCCCTGACACGGAAAAGCAAAGGTCTTCAGGCCAAAAAGAGCTCATTCGTTTGGAGGAACTAGAAGAAAGCCTGAGTGGCAAGTTAATGGTAAGAAGAGTGGCAAGAGATGCTTTTGGAGATGTGAACATGGTCAAAACTATGAACTGGCTTGTTTAGGATTTTGGTCTTTTATAGAGTATTTGGAAGCCATTGGCCTGTTACAAGCTGAGGAGTGACAGTCTGCTTTACAGTCTTAAAGACCATCAGCTACTGTGAGGGAATGGGTTTAAAGGGATGGTGAGAGTGGCACCAGATGAACCTGGGGAGGCTGTTGCCTCACCTCAGGCCAGAGGGGGTAGTGTCTTGGAGTCAGGTGGGGCGGACACATGTGAGATGCTCTTTGGAGAGGGAAACAGCAGGATGGATGGAACACAGAAGGTGAAGGAGTGGGAGAGTCAAGGGTGATTTCCTGGGTTCTGGCTTAAGCAACTAGGTACATGGAGGTACCACTTACTGAATTTCCTTTGGTGGGTGGGTGGCATTTAAAATCAAGAGTTCTATTTAGGACAGTGTTTGGGATGCCTGTGAGAGATCCAAGAGATGTCAAGTAAGCAATTGGACATTCATCTAGGCTCAGAAGGAAGGCTCAGTGCACATATATGAAATAAGGACACCAGTGTAAAGATGGTATGTGAAACTTTGGGAATGGATAAAGTCGCCCAGGAGGGGACCCAGAGGCACGCCCAGAGGACCAACCACAGGGAACATATATTGAACCCTTCAAGACTGGGGAGTGAAGGTAGAGATGGGAAAGGTGCCTGAGAAAGCATGGCCAAGCTCTAACTTTTTGTCCATTCCTTTCTGCAGTGGACGGAGGGTATGGCTACCTGAAGAATGCCATGTGGTGGGCTGGATTTCTCACCAGTAAGTGGGCTCTTTCCTAACAACACTGACCCATTGATGGCAGAAGCAGAGATGAAAAGAGGGGTGAATGGGGCCATTTCTGTCTTCATTGTGCAAAGTGTGAATCTCGATGGGAAAACCTTGGCAATCTTTGCAGGAAGAACATCTTCCCTGTATTTCAGATTACATTCTCCACCCAAAGTCAGTCCATCCATGAAACGTGTATCCCCAGAGAGGCTTGTAGAGAGCTGCTAATATTAGAGGTGTCATTTCTCAACTTCCCTTGAAACAGAGAGAGTTATCACTGCCGGTTGGAGTCTCTTGGGGCTCCTCAGCCAGGTTTTCCATTCCAGAGGCAGTGTGTTGGCTCACTTAGAGCATGGCTGGTCTGCCACTTAAAGTTTGCCCAGATTTGCACATTCACACATTTCCCCTGCTTTCCATCACCCTCGCTGGCTTTCAAACCCTAATTCTTTCGAATGGAAGATTACCCAGCTTTCCATTTATAAATCAGGTTTTGATCCCAGTCTTAGCCAGGGCTACCACATTCATCCTCTCCTTTCAAAGGGCAGACCCAGGTCATTCTTTACCAGCAGAGACAGAAAATGCACTTGCAGGAGTCTGCAAACTAGAAACTCAAATGTGGAGAATTAGGCCCTGTGAGGACGTCAGACTTTCTAACCACCTGCCCACAGTTCCTCTGGGAGAGATGGCTCCACGACCAAGTGGTACCTGGAGAATCAGTAACTAAATGTTTCTTTTTTTTGGAAATTAACACTTTCTAGAATGCATCTTAAGATACAGACCAAACATGAGCAGTCTCTGAGGTACACTTAACCGGTGGCCTGGACTAGAAGCCAAGACGCCGAAGGAACAGGAAGGCGTCCTTCCACAAACATGTCATGTGACCTTGGACTCTGGGCCTGGCTTGCCCATCTTTAAAATGGAAGGATTTGATCAGGAGAGTCTGGGCCTGACCGTCCAATCAGATTCGCTAGGGGGAAAGCATAAGGACCAAGCCTTTAGGGAATGTGGGCCCGAGATTCTGTGAATGGCTGATCACTAAATGAAGCTGTCTCTACCCAGGTTAGTGTGGGCTGGAGACGGTGCGTCGAAGCCACATGAGCCTGTTTTCTCCCTTCGTTTCTTAGTGGCTGCTGGAGAAGTTGCCAACTTCGGGGCCTACGCATTTGCCCCTGCGACAGTCGTCACGCCTCTGGGAGCGCTGAGTGTCCTCATAAGGTTATTGTCACCTCTCTTGCTGTCTCTGCCTCCTTCCTATTTTCAGTTTGTTGATGTCTGGAACTGTGAGTGGGGTCACCTGCCACTTGCAGTCAGGGACCTGTGTCGGTCCCGGCTCCCAGAAAGAGGCACTATGCTGGCTGGAGCTCCCGAGCCCTGGATTGTTTGCTGCCTCTTGTCCTAGCATCCCCTCCGACGACTGGCCAGTAGAGGGGCAGGCCAAGCCCAGACCAGTTGGAAGGGCTTCCAGGGCCACCAAGCTGAATGTCTCACGTCAACGTTTTGGTCTGTCAGTAGGCGCGGCGTACAAGTTGGAAAGCATGAGCTCTAACCTTAAGCTCTGCCGCTTAGTAACTACATTACCATGGACCAGTCACTTAACTGCCCTAAGCCTCAGTTTCCCCATCTGCTCAGTGGGGATGCTAATAATCCCTACCTGAAGGCATTTCTTCAAGGACTACGTGGGCTTCCCATTGCCACATTCTTCTTGAACTATAAGCATAGTTCCTCCGTGGGGGTCTTGGAGCCCCATTTGAAGCTGGCTGTGATTATTGGCTTAACCTGGGAGTCTTGGTAAATCCCAGCGAACCACACCCAGCACCCACAGTTTCCTCTGTTTTGTTTTACCCTCTTGATGACAATTTTGTAACATTTACCCAATCCAAAATAAACAGAGGCATGCCTCACATGACACAGCGGGCTGATGTAGCTGAGATAGCACTATGGCATATCTGACGATGTGCAAAGGCCCACTCCCAGGAAGTTAGGAGGGGTGGGGAATCCTCCACTGTGTGACCTCGGCCTATGCCAATGCCCCCAGACTCTCTCTTTTTTTTTTTTTATTCTTATGTTAATCCCCATACATTACATCATTAGTTTTAGATGAAGTGTTCCATGATTCATTGTTTGTGCATAACACCC